GAATCTCAATTTTATCTTAACTGAATAATGCTGAGTGAAATAAGATAAAAAGGAATATATGATGTTATGATTTTATGTATATAAAATTAGGTAAAAGTTCAGACTTACTAAAGGGACAGAAAGCAAATCAATAGTTGCCTGGTGACAGTAGGTGTATGATAAGAAGAGGTTGGAGGGAGAGCATACAAAAGATCACAGAGATACTTTGAGGTGATGTATGTGTTGACTATCTTGATTGTGGTAATGGTTTTGTTTCTGCATCCATTTATGAGAACTTTTCAAAGTCTGTATTTTGAACATGTGAGCTTATGATATGACTACCCACCACAATAAAGCCGTTTTTTAAAAGAATGGCAGCTTCCCATTTCCCTTAAAATAAAGACCAAATGTTTCCCATACTATACCAAATTCTATATGATCTTTCCTCCATCTACTTCTCCAGTTTCACTTTGGGCCATTTCCACCCCCATTTTATATGCTTCCATCATAATTAACCATTTGATTCTTCAAGGGTGTAGTTTTTCTCACCTCAAGGCCTTTGCAAATGCTATTCCTTTTCCTTTCCCCACACTTAACTCCTACTTAACTTCCTGTCATCCTCCAGTTCTCAGCTCAAATATTCGTCCCAAGAAAAGACTTACTGAACAGCCTAAACTACTTGAGTTTTACAACTCTCTACTTTTTCCTTTTTAAAATTTGTCACAAATTTTGTTTTTGAGTACATTTTCCATTAATGGCTATCAACATGACTAAAGCACAATAATTTACATATATCATTTAGTTAATACTTTTGAAGAAAGATATAATTACAACATTTCATATATAAGGAAAGAGATTAAATGCTTGAAATCATACACATAGGGACGACTGGTCGCTCAGTGGTTGAGCATCTGTCTTTGGCTCAGATTGTGATCCCAGGGTCCTGCTTCTCCCTCTGCCTGTGTCTCTGCCTCTCTCTGTGTCTTTCTCATGAATAAATAAATAAAATTTATTTTTAAAAAATCACACACATACTAGCCAATGGCAGGAATTTGAGCTCTACCCTCTCTGACTTTAAAGCATATCATTTTAATTAATGATTCTACAATAATATATGATATGCTACCAAAAATAAATATAATCTGGAAGTCAGCATGATCTCTAAAATTAAAGCAGGTAAGTAGGTAGTATCTGAGTATCTGCAGGCAAGCAGTATACTTGGAATAACCTAACTAACTTGTGAGGTATCTTGATAGGTAAGCCAAAAATGGAAATAGAAGTTCCAGAAAATGGCCTTGAAATTTGGAAATCAAAATGGCATCAAGAAGTTAGCAATAAACCCTTGCAAAATAGGGTTAAGCATGGTGCTATCCTAAATAGACTGTGGTATTGGGCAGATTAACACAGCAGAGATCCAGTATTTTGGTGCAAAATGGAAACCAAGACCTTTTGAGGGCTAGGCAGAAACTCATGGAGAAGTTTAGAGATAGGAATATAGTAAGCATGACTTAGTACCTAATCTAGAATGCTGGTTTGCATTTCATCTCTTCCTACCCCCAACAGACCTTTACTTCACCAGTGCTTTACCATTCTACTCCAATTTCAAGGACTTCTCAACAGAATTAATCCCCAAATTTGAAAACTTCAAATTTAAGAGTCACATGCTAATAGAAGAGTTTTTTTTAAGGGCCAAAAACATGCTAGAAGTTTATTTAAGAGTTGTTATTATAAATGGCTTTGAACTAGTAACATTGAAAATGCGGCTTTCTTAGCAGAAAAAAAGATCTAGATTTTTAAAAAGATTTTTTTTTTACACATTGGGCAAGTATGTTATTTTTACTAAACAGCATAATTTCTCACTACCTCCATGATTCAGTATAAAAAAAATGTCATTGTCCATTAAGACTTTAAAGAATTAGCATGAGGATTAAACTCTAGATTCATTTACCTTCTTACTTTACAAGCACTAGGTAAAGGAATCTAACATGTTGCCAAAGAACACAATCCTGAGCCTTAACCACAAAAGTTGATGAAGCACCTCTGATCAGACGCCTCCACCCTGAAACAAATCTGTGTCCAGAAGAATGTTAATATACTATTAAAGATTAAATATTTACACCATTCTAGAGCATGTTAAGCTGTATTACAGTGCTATAATTTCTCCTTTTAAGGAAAAATAAATTGAGTTTCTTTTCCGTGTTCTGAAAGGAAATGAGATTATTTTTAAATAACTAGTGGTTTGCTTATTTTTCCCCATATTTTTAAATTCCAACAAAGCTTTACTTTGCAAAAGGTCCTTCAGTACAAATTCAGTGTCTCTGTTTTGATCTCTTTGTAAAAAAACTCTGCTCATTCGTTCTTTTCACCTGAGAATGTAAAATCAAGCTAAAAAAGTCCTCATCTGGTACTGTTGGTCCCTTTGTAGTGGCAGGTGGTGAAGCACATCTTTGATCATCTAATCTGGACTCTTGACATTTTACAAGGATGTCAAAGAAGTCTTCATCAGGCTCTTTGTTGTCATTAGTCATCAGGTGGCCAAGTACAGACTTATTGTTGTTTTGTGTCAGACGAAGACCTGGCAAATTACTGAAACTGGCCCTTTGGTCATCAAGACGGCGACTCTGTGAGCTGCAAGGTCTAAAAACTCATCCATGTTCGGGGACACCATGAAAACAGATGATGTTTTAAGCATCACTCTAGGGGGAGTGGAAGACGCTGCAGTTGAAGCTGGCCCACAGCTCTATTCTTATAAGCAGCACCTCTGATCATCCATCCTATTGTTCTGAAATTGGCTTACCAGGTCAAAGAACCCTTCATCTCCAATAGAATCTGTACTGACTTTCCCCTGAGAATTTGGAATTCGGTGATTCCAATTACTGGCATCTTGGAGAACTTTAGTGGAGGAATTAGTTTTGCATTTTTTCCCCTTTAATCTGTTGACAAAGAGCAACTTTGCCTAAGAAGATAGATAAAGAGGTTGGAAGTTGCAAGAAAATATTAATTCAATATTTAGTTTATCTAAATAATTATATTCATAATAGCCAGCCATTATAATGTAAGTCACATTCACTGTTTAATCTATTTTTTTCTTTTCTACATTAAAAAAAATATATGAGCTTATCCAATAAAGATCTGTAATTTGAACCAGCAGAAAGGCTTTTGGTTAAAAGACACTGTTACTTGACAGATAAAAAAACACCATAATATTCAAAATCCTTCATCCCCCAAGTGGCCCAAAGTACAGAGGTGTTCATAAACTATCTTTAAAAGGAGTATATGATATATTGGCTCCTGTCAGTGAGAAAGGACTTACCTTAAATCAGGAGCTGAAATACTGCCAATGTCTTTTTTTTTTCTTGCCAATGTCTTAAGATACATTTATTTCTTTAAAGGAAGTGAATATTAAGCCACATTTCTTACCTGCTAGCTTAGAATTTATGCCAATCGATAAAGTGCAGATATTTTTAAAACATTAGTAAAAATTATAATAATTTAGCTACATTTCAATAAAGTATATAACTCAATAAAGTTATAATTATAATGAAAAAGCCTATTTGCTTACAAAAAACATAATTTTTACTTTCAAATATATCCTGTGATAGTATGTGTATCTTTGGAATTTAAACAGAATACATTTATTTCATTTTTATACAAAATCAGCACTCTCTTAATAATAATCAGAATTTTGCATTGACCATCTTACATGGATTATACAACTTTTAAGGGCACTGTATTTTCCAAATGTCTGAAGTTAGTATCTCTCCTAGACATAAATTAGTTTGGCTTGCTTCTAAGCTTGTCTTCCTTCTTATAAGTTGTAAAGCAGTTTTCATGTATATTGAAAAGAGTACGATGTTTTTAAACTGGTATCTTTACTGATGACAATGTGTAAATATCAATTTATAAGCAGTGTCAGCAACCTAGAATCTAATCCAACTATAACAAGGCTCAACACTTTCAGCAACTCTGTTCTGGGTGATGGGAAAGATGGAATACATATTTTAAAATAACATGAAGGATGTTGACTAAACATATTTAACCCATATTTTTCTTTCATAAATGGTATGATATTAGCATATTACCATGGAATAAACTATTCTTTTCAGAACTAGGAAAATCCAATTTTAGGATTTTAAGTTCAGTAGGACCACTGGTTCTTACCAAACACCTGTTACTCCTCCCCTAAAAGTCAGTCCTCACTCTAATGGCATATCAAATAAAACCACAATAGCCACTTATTTTGTTTCAGGTTGCTAGAGGAGGTTGATGCATCAGTTTAAAAAAAATGATTTCTATTTTAGGAGTATAGAAGGGAGAAAAAGACACAAGTACTAATTAACTTTAAAATCCATATATTTTTGCGATGATGAATACACAGGATAATACGGTAATCCCAAATGTCAACCTAATTTTCACTGAACTTGGGTATCAAAAAACCCAAATGGAAACTCAGGTACCGTGTTTTTATATTTAAAAGTGCAGTGCCAGCAGCCGAGGTACCAGGTATCAGGTCTTGTCTTCAAGCCCTTGCTGTGGCACTGTAGAGAAGCCACCATAAATCATCTCTTGGCTGTATACAATTAATTTTATGTTCTGCACTTTTCCTTCTCTATGTCTCTATGCTGTTTCTTTTTATATTTGATTTTTGAGGTCACTCTGGGTTTGACGTAAAACACTCAAGCTTCATATTAAAATATCACTGGGTGATATTATAGTATAAGTTTTAATAACCAAATTCAGGGTCACCTTTTCCCACGAGTTTTAAAATTAACTGTCAAAAAGTATCAAGAGAAAAATTATCGGTGACTCTCTAACCCTTTTAAATATGAGAAGTTATTAAGTGGGTTTATTGCACAATTTCTTGAAGGGTAAAGCATTTCTACTGTCACTGCATATTTTCACAGTGATCTCTTTATCTTATTTATTATTACCATGGTGGTGGTTTCAAACGTCTTCAGAATTTTTTACCACTTAGCTGATCTGCAGTAAAAGAGGAAAAAACCTTTTTTAATAATTTTCAGAATAGCTAATCTTCCGGACGGAAGTCTACGGATCCTAAATGCTTCTAAATCAGATGAGGGAAAGTACGTTTGCCAAGGGGAAAATGTCTTTGGTTCTTCTGAAATCATAGCTTCAGTATATGTAAAAGGTAAGAAAATGTGGCTAACTGTGTTATAAACATAGTTTCATAGCTTTGTGAGAAAGTGAATAAATATAATATGCATGTAAATGTGTTTGCACGTCTGTGTGTGCATGATCCTATTGATAAGATACATTGCACACATAGAACTAAAACAGCCAAGCTGTCCTTTTTCATTATTTAGGAAACCATAAAGGATGGCATACCTTGTTGGTGGAAACTTAAATATTTTGCTTTGAACAAAGTATGTGAGGATATAAAGAAAGCATTCTGAAGTTTTAATGTCTCAAAATTTAAAAGCATTCCAAAAGTATAAAAATATTTTTCCTCCATCAAGATTAATTTTAGCATCAATCAGTAATATTCTTTTGTTAACACTACTACTGGGGATCTGGGGCAGAAGGAGGGCATGAATGTATGCTGTCAAGAGTGTGTATCAGTTCAATGCTTGCATGAGCTGCTCTTTGGTGTTTGCATCAATGGAATTTTTTATGTGCTGTCATTTTTTAGTGTTATAAATATTGCCACTTAAATGTTTCTATTAGTTTTCTATTTCTGTCATGAACTAGAATTTGGCCTATAGGACATTTTTTGAGACTACATACTGTTTATTACTAAGAAAATCCCATATGTTAGACAGAAAATCACATCAATTGACAAAGAAAGATTTTTCACAACTGAACTGTATTGTCAATCAACTTTTTCCATGTGGGCATGTATTATATAGTGAATCATATTTGGTTACAAAAACATAGAAACATTGAGTTTTTTCTTTAAAAATAAAAATGTCATTAAAATAGCCAGCACTCTTATATTTTAGAAAAGAAGCAAACATTAACAGAAGAAAAGAAGATAATTTAAAAGATGACTTAATTTATAGCATACATTATGGGAATCCATCTCTGTCTGCTAGTCTGTGTCTTATTGTACTAAACAATCATTGTCATATTAAGCAATGCTGGATTCACAGACATCTTTAAATAATAACAAAAAAGTTTTCTGTTAATCAAGAGTTAAATGAAATATTTAGTTACTCAGAACATTCCAATTCTCACAAAGTTAAACTACAATATGCTGTAATTATCTGTCTTCTCTGATGAAGCCAAAACTTAGAAAGCCACAAGGAATATCTGCTTCATCAGACTATTCTATTGCCAAAAACAGAGAATAAATAGAAAAATTAACCTGACTTTCAATCATTTGTTTCAGTCTTTTTGAGGTACCTATAATCAGGAATCTAATTAGGAAAAAATACTAAATCAAAATCCTATCTCTATCACCTCCCTATTTTATGAAAAAAAAGTCAATTATTTGATCAATAGCTAAATAACCCTTAGATGTACAGCAGTATTAGCCTTTATTGTTTCAAAGCTGTCCTGACACAATAAAAATGTATCTATTTTTAAAAATTTAATTGAATCATTAAGTAATCAAGCACCCAAATTTCTTCTCAAAAAATTCTTCCCTTCAATAATTTGCCTTTTTTTTTTCTGGATCTCAACTAAAGCATCCACAATTTATCAAAAGTGATTATTTTATAATCAGCTAGCAGTGCTTTTTTTCTATTCATAAAATGGTTTTGTAGAGTATATAGCCAATATAAGTCAGTATAATAACAGTATTATATTTTTATCTCTGTTAAAATAGTAATTTGAGGGCAGGTGCTTCCTATAACCTGTAAAGAAGTGAACTCACCTGAATTTTTCCTCCTTAGATATGGAACATTTTTTTATGATAAAAATCCTTTTATTTATATGTGTTGATCCTTGAAGGTAGACAGGGAGGCTATGGCTTCTCTTTTCTAATTTTCTCTCTTCAGGAATGCCAAATGCTGCTTATACTTATGTATTTTCTTATCTTTTTCGTCCAAGTTTACTTCTTAATGGAATAGTAATTTTTAAATCATCAGTCCCCTGCACAAGCATAGTAAAATGTCCTAGCACACACAAAAAAGTAGTATTTCAAGTAATAATAGTTTACTTAAAGATGTGCATCTAGAGCAACTGCATTGCCTAGATTCCTTGCTTAAATTTTTCTCTTTTATTGAAAGTATAAATACAGGGAAATACTATGTGTTGATTATGTTAATTAATGTGTTTTTATTTCTATAGAACCTACAAGAATAGAACTTACTCCTAAAAGAACAGAGTTAACAGTGGGAGAAAGCATTGTCCTTAATTGCAAAGCAATTCATGATGCTAGTTTGGATATCACTTTCTACTGGACACTAAAAGGACAGCCTATTGATTTCGAGAAAGAAGGTGGACATTTTGAAAGCATCAGGGCCGTAAGTTAATACACTTTTATTTGTTGAGTACTAATGATTTTTTAAATTTACACTTAAATGTAAATCTTTCTTATCTATGAAATGTTAAGGAAAAATAGGAAAAAAATCAATTTGATTCAATTATTTTCTTTCATTATTTTATGTTACATCAAGTTGAAAGTATTTTTTTATTTTTTATTTTTTTGAAAGTATTTTTTAAAAACCCAATAAGAAATTGGAAATTCTTCATTATGCAAATCTGTTTTTCCCACTTTAATTTACTTGATTAATATTATCAATATATTTAGACATTATTTCTTAAAAGTTATATTGTTACATAATACTGTTATTTAAAGCAGGGTTAACAGTAATTATGACTCAATAAATAAATGAAATAAGCCTGCTTGTCCTATTCCTCAAGAAATAGTAATTTTGGATATTCTTTAATTCCTCACAAGAATTAAACATGAGCTTAGAGCATAAACATGCAACATGTCAGCCTTAGATAAACATTTACAGATATATTTATTTCTTGTCTACCAAGTTCTTTCTTTGTAATATCTACGTGGCAGTCAACTAAATAAAGTGGAGATCTTTTGAACCAAATCCTATAGAACACCACAGTGCTGTCAATAGAGAAGTGAAAAAAGACCTCCTTACCCCACACTCTTAACATAAAATAGTGACATAATGACAAATGAGAAGGATGATGGAACTAAGGTTCCAGAGAGATATTTTGGCTGAAATACTCCTTTTATATGGATCCAAATGCAATTTATGCCTCCAAATCCAACTGAAAATGCTTCTCTATTATTATCTATTTATTCTTCTCTAGACACTTTGGGAAACACTAGAAAACCACAGCTGTAGTAAGACCAAACATATGTAAAGCTCAGTTTAGATTGAATTTTATTTTACAGGTGATATGACACAGGGAAAAAAATCCTAGACCCAAAGTCAGGAATTTTCTGGGTCAAGTCCCAGCGCAGTCCCTAATTAGCTTTGTAACAAAAAGCCAGTCACTTGGCTTTCCTGGGCATTTAACTCATAGAGGAGTAAAGTGAATGAGTTGCAGTTGGAAAATTTCTAAGGTCCCTTCTCACTTTAGAATTGGATAAATTTCAATTAGTAGAAGAATAATGATGAGCTATCTTTATTGCATTTGCCAAAGTAATCAAAATTAAACATGTTCTTCTACATTTTTCTTTTCACCCTGATTTATTTTTTGAAATTAATGGGAGAGACTATATATATAAGAAATAATTACCAATTACATTATCTAACCAGATGAATTAATTTTAATTATTAGTGATTATGTTATATGTAAAATATTTAGATCATGCTAAATTACGCTCATTTTCCTTTCCTTCACGTGTGGTCAACATTTCCTTCATGATTGTGAACCAAAGAAGCAGAACGAGAAAAATGTGATACAAAAATATCACATTTGAAACAGAAAATATATCAGACAATATATATCTTCCTAGGATTATCTGTAAACATTCATTTTGAGTGATCAGATATAGAAAGTAAAAAATATCTAAAATGAATATTGGTGGGTTTTTTCCAAGTAAACAGGTCCCTTCTCTATTTTAAAATACCAACAGAGAAATTAATTGTCCTGGTAAAATTATGTTTCCTTGTTTCTGCCTCTTAAACATTATCACTCTGGTTTGGTATCATTCATTTATAGCAATATATACCTTTTATATATTTCTTAAGGTTGGGAGTTAATAACACCTGCTGTTCCCCTCTTTTTATATATATATGCTGTTCTTGCCCTTAAGTAGCACAAAATTGACTCCTTAATCCATGCCAACCCATATGGTTACGAGTCATATTAAAATTAGGCTCTGGATGACATAAGGGATAAGAAACTATAGAATATAAGAAAAAACAAAGCAAATTATCTTACTGAGAAGTGAGAAAAATATTTAGCTTTAATATAATTTAGCATTCATCATTCTAGTATACTTAGAATAATTAAGAGAAATATGTATGTACTTAAAAATATTTGGAAGCTTCAAAACTGCAAGGTGTAAAAGAAATCATCCTCCTCTTTCAATTATCTTGAACATTGATTGGGCCCTGTCTGGCTTCAGGATACACTGGATAAAATTCCATTTTATGACATTGAAAAGGCAGAGAGAAAAAAGAAAAAGACATTCTATCCCCCAAATAATATGTTTTAGGAGAAGAAGTAAAAGTATTACAAAAGCTTTAGGGAGTTTTGAGAAGGCCTCTGGACTTGTAGGCAACTTTCTGTTGAGATGCCAGCTGAAGATTCTGGAAATAAGAGGGACAGGACAGAGCTCAGAGAGAAGGCGATCTATGGCCTGCTCTAAGTTTCAGAGGAGAGCCATTGAAGGGACCTCAGGGGTCTAGGCTGGCACAACAGAGCAAGGAAGCCACACAGACTCAGGGAGTCAAGCAGGAACAGGAATCAAGTATGCCTCTGATTTGATTTAACTGCCCCAGGACCTCACCCACCAGTGGGTGAATGAATACGGTAAATCGGAAAAGAAATAGAGGTGTAATTTTAAGCACATTAACACTGCATAGTGTCAAGTGAATCAACCAACTCTCGGCCGGGGCGTGGGGGGGGGGTGTGGGGTACCAATGCTGTTCATATTTATCATCTTGTAGGTGGCAAAATACCGCTTCATGAACTTCTTTACTTTTCAGCTAAGTGTACTGCTATCTTTTATACACAGCCATTGTTTGCTTTTTAAAGATTTTATTTATTTATTCATGAAAGACAGAGAGAGAGAGAGAGGCAGAGACACAGGCAGAGGGAGAAGCAGGCTCCATGCAGGGAGCCCGACGTGGGACTCGATCCCAGGACTCTAGGATCACGCCCTGGGCTGAAGGCAAGCGCTAAACCGCTGAGCCACCCAGCCTGCCCCACAGTCATTGCTTTTTAGGTAAAGCTGTAGACAAATGTTTATGTATAGCTATCATAACATCTATATACAATGCTATTATATACACTGCTGTTTTAAATAAAATAGCTTTCACACCGCATTATGAGAGAGTAGATAAACATATAATCACATCCAGTTAAAAAAATAGCTATTCCTTTGAAATTTAAATTAAAACATCTATAATGGAAATGTTTCTATTTCCCTTGCCCCTTTTTACTTACTCCATGTTTCACAAATCCAATAATTTGACTGATTTGAAGTGAATACAAATTACTAAAACCACTGTTAAAAGAGTCCAAGCAATCCAATTAATACATACATAAACATTTAATCCAATTCACCCAAGTCATTTTTTGACAATAATATGAATTAACTAAATTGGCAAATTAGTGAAGCTATTCTTAAGATATTAATTTCAGTTCAGTTTTACAAACTAAGTACTAAGTACTGTGGAGGATCAAAGTAAAAGACCCAGGCCTTGACTCCTAATAGAACACAGTTTAAGGGATACAGTGCAGGATGGGCTAGTGACCTGCTGTAGGAGTGTTATCGCCAGAGAACCGTGTGGGTATGGCTGGCAGAAGGAGTTGGAATTTGAACCTGACCTGGAGAGGTAGGATCCTGCCAGATGGTGAGGAGAATAAACTGTATCTCAGAGCAAGCAGGTAGAGCAAAGACAGAGAGGCAGAAGAGTTTACAACATGTTTCAGGAGCAGTGAGGAACCACTGGCCTTGACACCACAGTGAGGGCACATAGTACACAATAAGTCAATATTTTTGAATAGTTTTTTTTTTAAAGCAGCAGAGACCTTACTATTAAAGACTGATTTTCAAGCCGTGGAACTGAGGTTGTATTTGGAATGTAGCAGAGCCCATGTGATTCAGATTTGTTTTTTAGGAAGATAATTTAAACAGCTTATGTTCATTCTAGACTGCTTTAGCAATGAAGGCTTGACCATTAAAAGCTTTGGTGTTAAATAACCATCTTATTATCAAATAAGGCATTTGCAATTGTGTTTGACATATTGTTTATAATGGTCAGAAGTCTGCAAGAACCTCTTAATCCTTTAGGATGTCTGGACAGCACCTGAACATGGTCAGGTAGCCCCAAAGCTACAGTCTTCAAAGGAAAACTGTAGTGATGCATTGTTTTTCAGAGATTTGAAATTCCTAATTATTCATTACACATGTAAGCTATTTTTAATCATTATGATATGTAAAGAACAGTTACACTCAATATTATGGCAGCCTGCAATCTGCTCTGTTTTTTGGAAGAGTAAAAACTTAAACATTTGTAATCAGGATGGTCTGCTAAAGAAGAATTGCCCTTTCCACTGCAAATTTGCCAAACATTCTAAGTTGTAACTAATGGGCAACCAAGTAAAAGTGCATTATTTGAATGGTCCTTTATATGTCTGGTTATAACGATGTACCCAGGAAGGCATGGTAGGGATATTTGACCCCATTTAAAAAATTTTTTTAAGATTTTATTTATTTATTTATTCATGAGAGACAGAGAGAGAGAGAGAGAGAGAGAGAGAGACAGAGAGAGAAAGAGGCAGAGACACAGGCAGAGGGAGGAACAGGCTCCATGCAGGGAATCTGGTGTGGGACTCGATCCCAGGACTCCAGGATCACGGCCCTGGGCTGAAGGCAGGTGCTAAACCGCTGAGCCACCCAGGGATCCCTGACCCCATATTTTTAATGAGGAAACTGAAGTATAAGACTTTTCCAGGCCACGTGAATAATACATTAGGGTGACAAGATTAAATACAGTGTGATTTGTAAACAGCATTGGTTCTTCTTTATAAAACTTACCTTTTCCATATTCATTGACCATATGTATTCATCCCTTGTTGATAAACTGTGGGAAACAAAAATAAAAGGATGATTTGGTTCTAATATTTAAGAAATATAAAAATACCATAGAATATTAAGTAATTCAAGAAAAATATGACTGTAAAAATGATTACTATTTATTATTATAGCCAAATATTGTTGGAGGCCAGAAAAGAAACAGACTAATGTGAATTTTTATCACTTTGGGGGAAGGCAAGTAATTAATTTAGTACCTCTTATATGCCAAGTACTCAGCTA